GTATTTGATACTTCGGTGTTCTCACCGCTGAAAGGAGAAGAGGCCATTATCTGGTTGTCCTTTGCTTCAGTGGTTCTTCAACTTTTTCTGCAGGGCCCCCTTTGGTAGATGGAAAATGCATCCACATACACTAAAACATACTATCATGAAGGTCTTTTAAGGAACAAATCCCTCTGTCTTAAGAATTTATTTGAAACATGGTCTGCGGAAAAATACCAAATTTCAACTTTAGTGTGAGAAGTGAAAGAAAAATACAACAGGCCACTTTTAGAGAGGAATTGACCGTGGGGCTGGCAGGGAAAATTCCAGGGAAAGTCTGAGTGTCTTGCTTGTGTTCACTCCTGCAGCTCAGCACGAATATTTCAGGAGGTTTTCAGGAGTTTTGCGTACATGTGAATTGCACCTTCACATAGGTAGGATGCGGCAAAAAGAGTGGAGGCAGGGCTCTCAGCGGTAGTGTGCACCCTTACCCAGCGCAACTCTGTAAGCTACTGTGTAAGAGGCCAGTTAAGAATTTGATGGCACAGATGCAGCTTAAGTGAAACCCTTCAATCAAACAGGCTTCTCTTCGTCTGTGTGGATTGTGTGGTCTTAACTTGTTAGGCTTCCTGCTGTGAGGAGCTCATACTTTGAGCCACAGCACACATTGTAGTCTCTCTCCATTAGCCGCCATAAAGGGTCAAGCTGAGGGCGAGATATGACATAAAGTTGACCACTGTGTGCATTGTTTTTATTAAGCCTTTGCTGCGTCCTCCCAGAGGGCCCCCCCCCCATCCGGTTTTGGAGTCACTGTCTTACTTTTTTTTATGCAGCAGCATGGATTAAAAGTCTTTATAATGTAAATGTATGTAAATGTGAACCTGCTGCTTATTTGACAGTATGTTAATGTATCTGAAATATGCCAGCCGTGTGTAAACCTGTGAAGTCAGAGTATAGCTGCTGTTGACGCTCCCAAAGGCTCATGTTGAGAGAATTGGACCAATAAGATCATTTAATTCGTTTTAACTCGATCAGCTACAACGCTCTGTTGGCTAAATATGGCAAATGTGCAAGGAGAAGTAAGCTGGAAAGCACAAATCCCAACAGCAGATGAAAGAATACAATAATGCACGTGTAGTTTTAAAATAGGTGAGGGATTGAAAAGCATCGGGCTCGGTGTTTAAACTGGCTTAGCTGTGTGGACGGCACAAAAACTTGCATGACATGCCGACAGAAAGCTTCACCTTAACAGAGACATGAAAGAAAAGCACAGAGTGTGAAGCCAGGGAAAGAGAAATGACTCTCGGTTCAGCTTCTGAAGTCATTTTCTGGGAGTCTGTATCTCAGTTTGAGATTGTTCAGTTACACCATGTGCCTCTATCTGACTCAGGCGTCTTCTTAAATTAACATAAAGCAATCTATTTCATCTGGTTTGGGTACTCTTGTGTTATCGGCCCGAATCACGGACTGTAGAGAACCCCAATTTAGCGAGATACTCGGTGGGCTATCAGGGAAATAGTTTTCACAGGAAATTTCGCTGCAAACTCGTCCCACTTAAAATCATGTGAAGCACCACTTTGAAGCTGGTAGCGGCTGCCTAATCAATTTACTGCATTGAGTAAGCAAAAGGGGGCTGTGACTCTGTGAACATGGGCTTCTCACATGAAAAGGCTCGTTCAATCAGCCGCAGTTTTCTCCGGCTTGGCTCTGAATAAAAAAAGCTGGAGTTTACATCAGCTGTCTGTCCTCTGCCTGGAGAAGAATCTGTGTGACAGTGAATGATGTCTCCGTCTTGTTGAGTACCAAAGAAAGAAATAACCCCCGACTTTTTCCTCAGCCTGAGTCGAATTATACCTCAATGGTAATACAGTATCAAAGAGATTCAGAGAAGTTACAAAAGAGGGAGATGTGAGGGCTGTTGATCTCAGACCAGAGAACAAGAAACTGGAAAGACAGAGGAACTATTTTTTCTTAAGCAGCATTATATAACTAAGTCAAATAAGCTTTTTTTTTTGACCCCTTCCATATTGACATTTGGATTCAGACACACAATGCATACATCTATATACTGTAAGTGACATGTAGCAAAATAGTTGCAAACAAAAACTTTTCAAAAACTGCAAATATGCGATACCAAAGTCTTTTGCATGAATTATTCAATTACTACGCTCTGCCAATGAAAGGCGTCTGATCCAACCTTGACAACAGGGTCCTAAGACGCTGACTAGACTCTTCTCCTCTGTCGCCCCCCCTGGTGGTGGAATGAACTTCCAAACTCCATTGGATCTGCAGAGTCCCTCTGCACCTTTAAGGAAAAGCTAAAGACCCAGCTCTTTCATGAATACCTACTAACTTAATGATGATGGTCTCCATATTATTGATGATGATGATGGTTTTTGTTTGATAAAGACGACTTATAAGATGGTTTCTATACTGATTAGAGCTCTCAAGAACTGCCCTCAATGTTGTGCTTTGCCTCGGGTCACTTCCTGTCAGCACCTGTGTGTCCAATCAGACTCAAAGCTGATCGTTTGCTCTTACTGACATTGTTCCCTTTTTTTCTAGATCCTTGCTTGTGTTGTTCTTACTCTCTGATGTACGTCGCTTTGGATAAAAGCGTCTGCTAAGTGAATTGTAGAATTAATCCAAGGCTGAGGCTTTCAGAATAACTTCAGAATCTTTTTTTTTTTTTTAAAGTAGACTTTTGAGATTGTGTTTACTCTCCCCGTCAACCCCCTAATAGGAAAAACCTTTGCTGGTAAAGCAACGCAGTACATTAAGTAAGCACAGCAGAATGAGGCCAGAGCACCACCAGCATCTTCTGTTTATCTTTAGAAGTTACAGTTACGGCTCAAACTGCAGCAGATGTATCTGATGTTGGACTTTTTCTCCGACTAGGAATTGAAACAATCAAACAATTCCCTTTTTATAGCTGTTTTATTGCGCTAAGAATACGATTGTTTCTTTGTCTTTTAGGAGAGAGTATCGTTGAGTCCAGATTTGAGCCTGGACTGGGATGAAGAAATGGCCACAGCTCAGCCTCACGACTGTGTCCCCGTTCCCTCCAACCACCCTCTCTACGTCCTCTACACATCTGGCACAACAGGAACACCAAAGGTACCGACACTACGATCATCAATACCCCGACTCGAAGACATGTACGTCATGTAAACACTCACAAAGAGTCAGCTCTGTTTGTCTGAACGCCTTCAGTCACAGCTCCCGTGTGACTCGTCTCTGTGCAAAACAAACCGGGCCAAAATCTAAACATCATCGCTGTGACATAAATAAGACTGAGCACTTCAACAGCAGGAGCGGCGGCTCATGCAGGAAGAGTTGCCTGCAGGCAGCCTTCCAATGTTGGAAAAAAAAAAAATCCAGTATTTTCAAAAAGCATCATCTTTGGCCAACGAAGTATAAAAAAACATCAACCTTCTGGCTGCTTGCTGAGCTTAATAGAGCGGTTATTGCCTACTTTTCTCTTTCTTATTGACCGTGTCATTTGAAGTTATTGATGTGCTGAGACCTTAACTCTGATTGCAGACAAGAGGACTCAAGGACACTTTGCTTAAACATTTCTTTACAACAGCGCTAAAGACAAGAAGCAGTAACTTGACACCACTTCTCAGAAGCAATCATATGTAAACATTTCAAACTCCCCCACCCCCCCCCCCCCCCCGCTACAGAGTGACTGTGTTTGAGACCGATATTAAACCCCCTGGCCGTACCTGTCACCTGTCTGATGTTTTTCTCTCCTTATCTCGTCCCCCAGGGCGTCGTGCGAGACACTGCGGGCTACGCTGTGATGCTGAAATGGACCATGTCAAATATTTATGGACTCAGTCCTGGAGATGTAAGGCAATAAAGCGGCGTCTTCTTCAGTCAGAGCTGCGCTTTAGAACAAAGAGCATACAGAGAGCGCAGAGAGACAGATTGTTCTGTACTTGAAAAAGACGATCTGAGCACCATATAATATTCATGGTAACTGAGCAGTCGTAGGGTGTGTGTTTTTCTTTTCTTTATTCACATTCATCTTTTCTTTTTTACAACATAAGCTTCTGGATTAACATTTAGAGTGCCTTCAGTTGAATGTAAAGACAGTGTTGATAGAGTTTTCTCAACTTTCAGTGCACTGTGTTTGCCTTCGATGAGTGTCTTTTGAACCTGTTGCAGGTGTGGTGGGCTGCGTCAGACCTCGGCTGGGTCGTCGGCCATTCTTACATCTGCTACGGCCCTCTGCTCCACGGCAACAGCACCATCCTCTATGAGGTACGTCGACTAGGTAGACGTCTTTAAACCCTGAATCACTTCTGCACCATGTTGTTGATCAATCAATCAATCATTATATCTCCAGGCGATTTATAAAAGAGCTGCTAAAAGACTTTACTCATTGTTTAGAAAAATGGGATAGGTGGAGATGTAATAAGATGCAGGAAGGATTTCTCCTTTGCAGTCCTCGCGTTCCTGATCCACACTTCCTTGCCGCTGAGGTGGAGGTCCGGAGCAGGCCGTCCATGAATGAGGACGGTGGTGGTTTGGGGACGACTGAGTCCAATGCTGGTGGCTGGGCATCAGGGATGTCGGGTGGTAGTAGTGCCCCATTAACTCACCAACTCTTGTTGGTTGTTTTTCACCAACACACCAAGACAGATTCCTTGTATGTGTAAATATACTTGGCAATGAAATACGATTCTGATTCTAAATCTGATTCTGATCACGATCACCTCGCTGAAGGTTGAGGTGATCTCCGTCTGCTTTGAGCGCCTGGCTTCTGCTGCTCCTTAAATCTTATCAGAAAAAAAATATAAACCACCAGACTTAAAGCTGACATTCATCTCAACAGACTGCTCGGGCTTCTGCGTTTCTTGCGTCATCAGCTACGCTACATGCAGTGCAAAATGTGGTCAAAACATGAAACATGAAGGTGTCAGGAGGCAGGCAGTGATCTGGCATCGAGGGATTGTTTGCGCTATCATGTTTAACTAATACGATGAGGAAAAATCTCTGCACACCTGAATGTGTGACAGGTTCAAGGAGAGCCTCCCCCACACTGTCTCTCTTTATGCTGCCAAATGTAATGCTCAAACAATGTCTGGGTCGAACCAAACTTTTGTAATTATTATACCTCATGGGTGATATTCAAACAGGTATCAATATTGGATTGGAATCAAGTCAAAGTTTGGTATCATCTGGTTTTGTGACAACCCTAACTTTCTCTTTTTAAGGTGCCAATCATGGAGCGTCAACAGAGAATCACTGCTCACCTTACCTCGTGTGTGTTACAGTGTTTTCCTCCCGTTAAGTGCCACACATTACATTAGCCCGCTGATTTCTTTATAAGCATTACTGCTGGGGAAATAAATGATTCTGCCTTCCTTTTGGCTCCACACACACACACACACACACTCGCGACGTGTCGACAGGCGACTCTAGTTCAAGCAGCCCGTCTGTCTTCAGGCACGATGCTGCCAACCTTTTTTGTGTCTCTCTTTTGGTCAATTTGAAAACACAAATATTTACTCCGAGCAAAACTGACAGCCAGGACTCACTGCTGATGTTAACCATTATTCATTCATCTGCAGTTGTGTGCTCACTGTTGGGACGGTCTCGTTGAATCCCAGAAACACGATTGGAATCGCCGTTGGACGCAAACGCCTGCGGGCATTCTTCTGTCTATATCTGTTTTCTTCTAGACAAATACTCCTCTTATAGTGCAACTGTGTTTACTAATCCGGGGATTTCTCGGCCCCCCCCCCCCATCCATCCGTCTTGGAGGCAGCCTTCCAGTGTGCCTCCAAACAGCTGCTCCATGAATATTAATGCTTTCTAGTGAACAGTAAATATGTACTGTGGAACAATGTTGAATTATTGCTGTGAAGCTATTTGCTTGGTTGACAGTCACTCTTATGATTTATATGTTTTCACCCGTGCTACACGTTTTTTTTTTTTTTTTTTACTAACCAGCTGTTGCCTGTTTTCAGGGTAAGCCTGTTGGGACCCCGGACGCTGGGGCCTTCTTCCGTGTCATGTCTGAGAACGGCGCCTCCTCCATGTTTACAGCACCCACTGCCATCCGAGCCATCCGCCAGCAGGACCCCCATGCTGCCATCGGGAAAAAATACCCCCTCTCCAGGTACACTATGTTGCACAACAAATAGCTGAAAACAGGTAGAGGAAACTGTTTTTGACACGTCTTTCTTCTAAATGAAGCACAAGAGGCAAGCATGAATACCTCTATGTTGCATTATGTCGAGCAGTCCTTAAATGACCCCTTCATTGACAGATAAGTTAATGGAAACAATTTTGGTAATGGACGTCTGGTGATGAATCTTTTAAAAGCAAAAAACATCAAACATTTATCAGCTACAGCATTCACTCATTAAGATGGGCAGCTTTTAGGTGATTGCAATCTGCAAAAATAAAAGCAACACAAATTTAGAAATATGAGCTATGCAAACTCGGTTGCCCCTTTTTCAACATTTCCCTTAATTGTGTACGTTCTTCATGATTTGTTGCCCTCAAAATAATACTGAACTTTATCCTTAATTAAGATTGAAGATGTCGAATACTAAAGAAGAAGTTCAGTAACAAAGATGGATGACAAGAAGAATATGTTTAAGCATAACTTTGTGCATGATTTGAACTTTTCTTGAAAGATGGCGTAATCTTTTTTAATGCATCAAATCTGGCATTTTGTGAGCCATATCACTAAGATGATTTTTTTAAAATCTGCAGGCCATTAGGCTGATGCATGCTTCTGCTCTGACAGATGACTATTGTACAATTCTCTTATAACCAATAGCAGGTGTCACTTACATTTTTTTTTTATAGTTTATGGTTCAAGCCCTTCAATGCAGTTTGTTTGTTTGCCTTTAAATCCTGAGGAGTGATTTGTTAAAGCACATCATAACTGAAAGCTTCCTGTCCAGCCTGTCCAGCCTCACTTTAGTCTCAGACCATCTGTTGATGCTCAGCCCTCGGTCACCTCCACTGCTCTCTGTCTGCACCCTTCGCTCGACCTGCATGGCTGTTAATCAGGATTTATAACAAACACCAGCAGGTCACTGTAGCCCACCTGTATGAAATCATACCACATGACCTTGTTGTCCTGCTGCAGTCTCACCTTCCAGGAAAAGGTCGTCCCTATAGCTCAGAGTTTAAAAAAACCCATTTCTTATGGTATCCCTTTGGCCCGGAGAGTCAAATACCTGCTGAGATTATCACGGTTATTAATTATTTAGTGCAGAGCAGCGAGACCTCAGAGGTTGTGATGTCAATTCACTGCTTTCACTCTCTTCTGCAGTCTGAAAATGCCTCTAAGCACACAATCATAAAGCAATTCTCGGCGAGGATGATCTTTGGCCCCTGTGAATCATTCAGACACTCTGGCACTGTGCGCTGAATCTGCCCGATGTTTGGTGGTTAGCGGCGCTGAATGCATAGCCCCCTTTTTAAAATGCTGCTGTGTGTGTTTGGTTCAATATGTTGGAGTGGAATAAAGGAGGCAATTTCTCCTCATAAGTCTTGACCCCGACACAATCAGTCATTTAAGTGACATGCTGTTTCTGTGCAAGCGTTCTTGTTCTTAATGCGTCTTTTCCCCTTGGAAGGAGGAGGAGGAGGAGGAGGAGGAGGCAGGTTGGTGAACGATTGCTGCATTTCAACATGACACAGTGGAAGCAATACAAAGGAAGCAATGAAGCATGGATTCATTTTAGCAGAGGGTGGTTTTAATGCCTGCTCGTACCCCCTCACTTGTTTTTATTTACAGCTAGCAAAATAGCTTTGACTTGAATAGAACCAGGAATCTTTCACTTTCAATGTCTCATGTTCACATGTGGATTCATTCATTTACAAGCTGTAAGATAAGTCAGTTGCAAGGTCGAGTCAAAGGCGGCATAACCAGGTTTTGAAAACCTTGGTGGCAGGAATTGAAAGTGGACGAAGGCAAGTCCCGGTGCGAACCTAAAATATGGAAGTTCGTCTGGTTGCTGGAGAGGTGCAAGGCCACTTCCCTAGTGCTTCCTATGTGCCTTTAGCAAGGCATTGAACCCCTAACAGCTCCAGATAAGATGTACGTTTGTCCTCGGGGGGGGGGGTTGCAAACCAAAGTTCCTCACAGCAGCTTTTAGGTAGTTTTTTGGTGTATTTGAACTCTTGATTACATTTGAGTCACCAGGCTTAAATAATAAATAAAAAAAAGAAAAATACATTATAGAGTATCTACACCATGCATTTAGCCAGTTCTTCAAACTCATGGATGGTTATGTCAATACAAACATCGTTGGTTTTAATTAAAAGTGTGTTGATGGTAGGAGTAAAACCTTTCAGAAAACTCTGTTAGCTTTATTATCGAATATAATTTCATGCTACAGAGGCCTCAAATGCACCATCTGCAGTTTATTGACACTGTGAGACTTTAACTGGCTGGGCTGTAATAGCCATGGACCCTTATCAATGTGCTCTGGCCATATTACTTGTCAGGCTGGATGTGAAAACTACTGCATTGAGAGTCTGGCGGCGGGCCTGTCAGACGCTGTGATGGCTGCAGTGCTCTGCATAAATGTAGCATGACAAAGAGGGCAGACACTCTGTCAGGAGTGTTTTTTGAAAGGAGGGATGACTAAGTCAATGCTGAGATCCCCCCCCCCCCCATAAACAAGTGACAGAGTGCATGACTCCAGTTGAAAGTGCCTTTTTTTGGTGCACAGTAAAAGCTGGAGCCGTTCAAGGTGCTGATGTTTGCAGCTTTTTGTCTTCCTCATAATCAACTCCAGAGTAAATGTCAGGGCAGCCTGCCTGTCCAATGTAGTGCATGCATTTCCTTTAAAAGATATTGCATTGCCTTTAAAATGAGAGGACAGGTGTATGAATAAACGTCGGGGTGTGTGCATGTCGTTGTGTTAAAAAGAAATAGTTGGAGGGAATGGTGTGAGGTTGAGAAAGGTAAAACACATTTTATGCAGAAGGATTTCGTTCTACATCATTGCAGATTTGAAGTACATATCAATACATTTCACCTCCTACTATTTTAAAACTTTATCCTAAATTTCCTTCTGTTACTATTACAGCTCGTATTCCCTTTTGTTGTTTGTTTCTTTATTCATACTTTCATCTGAAGTTACTGATTTTATTTCCTTTAACTTCTCTTATGGCTCTCCAATTGAGTCATTTTTTTTATCTTACTGACTTTTTCTATTTTATTATTATTACTAATATCATGATCATTTGTTTGCGTGTCTCTATTGCTCTCACTTGCCTTTTAATTGCTGTTTTCTGTTTTTTATTGGCTTGTAGCTCGTTTAGTTCCTCTCTCTGGTCCTCTTGGTCTCAGCTCATGTTGTTGGGTTCTTATGATGGGTCTTATCTCGGGTCTTGTTGTGTTTGGGTTAAATATTTTTTTGGGGGGTATCTTGATGTGTCTGGTCTGTTTGCTGTTGTGTTGTCTTTTGTTTTTCTGGTTTCTATATTCTCGCTGTTGTTTGTGATCTACTGTGTTTGCTCCTCTGTGTTTGGTTTCTTTTGCTCTGTTCTTGTTCTCTTGTTTTTATGCTTCACGCTTGTTTCTATGCTGTACGTTGAAGCTCTTTATGAACCTGTGTTTTTAGAAGGTGCTAGATAAATAATGTTATTATTATTATTATTATTATTTATTCATGCTGGACCATGTGCCAATAAAGATAAAGATAAAGATAAACTTTCTTGATCCCCCGTGGGGGAAATTTGTGCATTACAGCAGCTCCAGAAAACAGGGGACGGGAATATAATTATTAAAAATAAAAATAGAAGTTAAAATCAAATCAAACATATTTACATCAGTTAAATAAAAACTGAAATTACACAGTAACTAAGGGATTTACAGTGTGTAGCATGAGGTGGTGATGTTGTTAAACAGTCTGATTAAACAGTCTGACAGCAGATGGGATGAACGACCTGCGGTAGCGCTCTGTCTTGCAGGGTGGGTGTCTGAGTCTGCTGCTGAAGGAGCTGCTCAGGGGCCCCACAGTGTCATGCAGGGGGTGAGAGGGGTTGTCCATGATGGATGTCAGCTTCACTAACATCCTCCTCTCACCCACCTCCTCTACAGAGTCCAGACGACAGTCCAAGACAGAACTGGGAGATGTTTTCAACTCAAGCAAGAAATTACATGCAACCTATGAGCTTTGACTTTTCCCTGAAGTCTCCAGTTTGCTTTAAAGATCTTCCATCCAAACTCCAGTAAAAAAAAAAAAAAAAAAAAAAAACATTTTAACATTTGTTCACATCTCTGGTCTCGCAGGCAAACCGAACAGATTCTGAATGTTCTACTTTTAACAAATCTGCAATATGATGTATTTTTAAAAATGTGTTTACTGCAGTTATATGAAAGCAAAAATCTGTTTATTTTGTGTTCACACTGCTGTAGTGAACCAGCCACATTTGTGAGAACTGCTCGTCACCAGTAACAGATGGACAGGTGCGCCGCAGCAGAAACAGAACACCAGTAAAACCCTGGCGGCAAGCTGAGCGTGACCTAGCTGACAGGTCATCAAAGATGGCACTGGTAGAAGTCGAGCAAATGGAAGAAGCGGTAAAATGAATCCAAACTCTGAATCGGTGTAATTAACTGAGCCGTGTGCACCTTCAGTTGATTCTCTGAGCCCGCACATGACCGGGTTTTGGTTTTCAGACGTATCTGGAAAGGCAACTGTCTGGACAGTTGAAGAATGAGCCTTTGTTTGGGTCTTAAAACAGACTCACACACACACAGAAGGTCATTGTGTGCATTAAGTCGTCCGAGCTTCACAGAGCAGTTTTTTGGAATAAATGGTCAGTCTGTCTGGAATATATCACTGCCACCATCATCTTCAGCTTTATTTTCTTTGGCTTCTCACTTTAACTTTGCACACCGACCTCCCAGAATACGCTTTACACAGACTAGCAATTTGTTGAGTGAAACAAATGTAACAAAAGGCCATCACATGGATAACCTTTAACAAGAATGCGCTGTTTCCTGATTTATTGGCATCCTCCAAGGTCTCACTGTAGAGATTAGTGTGGCCCTTATCTGTACAAACTGTAAAGTAAAGCTGTTACTGGCTAACATGTGACGGATTCTTTGCCACTTCTCTCTCAGAGCTTTTCAAAGCATTGCGTCAGTAAAGTTCAGAGTACATTTTCTCTGATCGTGCCTCACATTTAAAAAAACGATTCCAGAGGTCTATGTCTGTCCTCATTCGTCATACCCCTTTGAAGAAGGTTATCATGGAACAGATGAGAGTAAATGTTATTTATATGGCCCCTTTTCAGGGTCAAAGGTCACAAAGTGCTTTACAGCAACAAAATCAAACATAAACGTGTAATAAAAACAGCAACAGATGAGTAGTTCATGGACCAACAGGATCTTTTTTTTCCTCAGAATAAAACTTGTTTACACTCTTTTTCTTACTCCCTCCCTCCCTGCTCAGTCCTTGAGTTTGGGCTGCAGCCAACCCCCCCCCCCCCCCCCGCCTCCTCTTTGTGGTCACAGCGTCTACGTGAATCCTCCCGACTTCAACTTTCATTGAACTCTGTAGAAAACTCAGCAAACCGCCGTGAATGTGACCTGCCTTTGGGTGACTAGCAGCAGTGTAGCAGAAGTGGTAAGTGGTTAAACGAGAACATAAGGGTCAGTGCGTGAGTAGCCAGTAAATCAGTTATTCATTCTGCATGTTATTTAGCGCCGTTCCTGCAGGGCACAATCAATCTGACAGCTGAATGATGGTACATTGTTAATCCCGAAGGCTTCATTATGGCGCCTGATGTACTTCTTTCATATTTGATACAGCCAAGGCATTTATCCAAAGCTTTTTATCCTTAAATCCTCCATAATGAGTTCAATAACCTTGATCTACACAAATTCAAGGGTGGAGATGTATTGCAATCAAAGTAGTGCTGATAGCTTCCTTTTTCAAAAGGCTCAGTGAATGTAAAAAAAAAAAAAAAAAGAAGATTTTATCAGATTCAAAGCTTGTCTGCAGGAACGTGATGCTAAAACATTCCCCGGCATTTCAAAGGAGACATTTAAAAAAAAAATTGAACCGACTGAAGGATGGGAAAGTCATGGCCGTACCTGAGTGGAATTTTTCAATTTGGCCGTCAAGACAAGGCTTCAAGTATTTCTTCTATTTAGGTTCAGTGCCACATTATTCTGCTTTTATGTAAACCTGCATGTTTTAGCTATTAAATATGCATTTGTGTGTTTTTCAGAGCTGCAAGATGCTCACGATCCGTCAGAGGCATCATGCCCATTCAAACAAGTTTTTAAATTATCCGACATGACTTTTTTTAGTATTGATAGATAATATTTCAAGTATGCGAGAGATCTGATTCAAAAAAGAAAGTTATGAAAAACTAAGCAATTCGGATGTGAGGAATTTTGCATGATTCAACTGAGGTTGACTGATGGAGAAATAACACCCAGTTCGCCTTTGCTTATAAATGTTTCAAAATGGCATAATTCTTTCAATTTTTCTACGAAGGTCCCCTTGACCCAACTCTTATTTAGTCCCACCAAACGTTTGGCTTGCATGACTTCCCCGTATACCAGCATGATACGGGACCAGGATAAAGATAATATCATGATACAACGATTCTGCCATCATTGATTAATTGTAAGACAGTATGATTATGCACCATGATATCTGATTAACTGAAGAATACAAAATGTTCCTACAAAGGTCATACGCTGGATTAAAAACATGTATTCAACAATTTGGAGTCTACATCATGCTTAATCTCTTAACGTCATGTTACCTAGCTGCCCCACATTATCCTACTGTCATGTCAGGAGTGCCACCCTTAGGAGTCATGAGGAGATGAAACGATGAAATCTGTGTGTGTCATGTGTGAAAATTGAAATATCAATATTTGGATCCGGCATTTTCAGTCAAGTATCACATGACTCACACTGACATTACATTTCTGTGTTTATATTTTTGCCAACCCTAGTTAAACCTGTGAAGGGGGAAAAATAGCGTTAAGCTGCCGCTCCTGAATTTCTTTGTGTGAAATTGTTGTGCTTAATATGAAAAAAAAAAAACGAGTCGATCCTGGATGCAGACTGATGATTTGAATAGTCTACTTTAGGTGCTTGGACACTCCTTATAGTGAAAAACAACGGCAGACTGTATTAAATTATTCTCTACTTACTTCGATGATTTGATTTTTTTTGGCGGTCTAGCCCATGTTAAGCAATCACTGTGTTGCAGAAAACCAGAGAAACCTACACTGGATTATATTTCTGAGAGCGAAGAACAATCGAGTTAGAGAGCAGTGCTTGAAAAAGAGAATGAAATATTACCCAGAGAGGAAAGGAGCAGGAGAAAGAAAAGATGCGATTCAGTGGAGAGAGAGAGAGAGAGAGAGAGAGAGAGTGACATGATAAAAAATCTTCTCCCTGTTACAGAAGACAGAATGAGACTTCAAGTTTGATTGGAGTTGGAAGGTCATTTCGCCACGGTGGAGAGTCGAGGCTCACGAGTGATGACCAGCAGTCATTTGCGGGGAACATGTAGCGATGGGACTATCAGCTGTGGCTGCTCTGTGGCCTGGACTCACAGACCTCTTCACGGCCTCTGCAGTCAGAAACCAGCAGTGTTGTGAATTAGAAATGAGCAGCCGTGGGGGTAGCCATCAGAGGGAGTTTGGGAGAAAATGATGTGGGAGAAATCAGGGAGGGCTGAAGATGGAAACAGCAAAGTTTTGGGTCACTTGTAGGGCATGGAAACCAGCGAGGAGCAGATTCCAAGACGTAAAGAAAGCTTAAACAGGGAGGGTCTTGTAAAGGAGGGCCTAACTTTGACCAATTCAGATGTCAAAGACACATAAAAGGACAATAAAGAGTCTCATCTTGTATTGTATGTTTCTGCATCGTATTGTATCATCATTTGTCCAAACAGAATTCGGGTTCACTCCAAAGTAGTCCATTTGGAGAGTAAAAGAGGTTAAACCCCTAACCCTAACACCTAATTCCATAACCAATCCTTTTTGCATTTTCAGTTTCCTGTAAACTCCACAACGACCAGCACAACATAGTATAAAAGATGTCACTCATCCGTTACTTAGACATCTTCTAGTTTCAGAGGCAGCCCCCGAAATGTTGCCATAGGAGGATAAACCGTCATCAGCTGACTGAGAAGTGGAATCAAAAGTAATGGTTCCCTGGCAAAAACAAAACACTTTTTTTCTGTGTTTTCTTCTCATCACTTTCATAAAAAAAAGAGGCTAAGAGTTGAATTCTTAGAAACTCCAGTGGTGATGTCCCTCCACACAAATGAGCATTCACCTCTGCCGTCCTGATACGTGTGACTGTGGGGTGGCAGGACGCGACGATCGCTTAGTCAGCAAAGATGGCAAAAACGATCTGCTTGACGTTGTCAGAGGCGATTTTAAAGAATGCGCGAGTCACGGCTAAGATCACAGGGAGGATGAAGTGGAGGAGAAAGCCGTGCGTAGCCCAAAAAAAAAATCCAACATTTTCCTTGGAAGACGCATTGCATGAGCTCAAAGTCACTTTCAAGAGTGTGAAGAGAAGTTCTGAGCCGTAGTTTAAAGTAGAAAACCCTATGACCCAGTTTTCACAACAGAGGAGTTTGACTTAGCAAAACACTGAAAACATCAGTTCTTTGGAAAAAAAAAAAAAAAAACACATCTTGAAAATAATGTTTTAAATTGCATATTTTTGCCCTTATTTTGTATTGTGCTTTCTGTTGTTAAATAAAGGAATGCACAAATGTACAGAGGCTATTGTCCTCCAAGCGGGCGGCATATCCGACCTGTGGATCCTTTCCAGATTTTCATTCCCACTCTCTCCAGAATACATCCTTAAAAAAACAATAATCACCGCTCTCTCTTTTAACCGGGACCTTAATTCTATAACTAATAATTTTCTTCCTTTTTATGTACTATCATGCTCTGGAGTGGCCTCCTTAAATCCTTTGTTGACCATTCCTGCGAGAAAAAAGTTTAAAGTTTTATAAACAGACTCTGTTCTCTTTGCAGGTTGCGCTCATTATTCCTGGCAGGCGAGCGTTGCGATGTGGAGACGCTGGACTGGGCGAAGAGGAGCTTTGGGGTTCCTGTCCTGGATCACTGGTGGCAGACTGGTAGGAAGATTTCCACTTTCTACAGAGAGAAATCCATAGCGTCTGA